AAGGAATAGCTGTAACTATTTTATGCAAACTGATTTAATTATGGGTTCTGACTTGGAGAAGAGAGGTGTTTTGTTTTATCTTGCTTGTTTGCTTTTGAGCTGCAGAGGAGGCAAGACATATAATAAGAACTGGTATAACTCTTAAGAATTGGTTTAACTAATTCTAGACTTGAAAAATACAAGGTAAGAAATTTATGTATAAGAACTACATCACAATGTGAAATCATGCAGGAACATTGCACGAAAGGAGTTTACAAATTAAATTACATTCACTACAGGTATCATGTACATTTCACAAAGAATAACTGTTAAACCAAATGCTACATTTCCTGAAAGGCAAAAGCACAGCACTGAAAAAGAAAGTAGTCTATGTATAAAAATTATGAACAAACTGGACATTCTCAAATGAAAGACAAAACGGTAATGCAGGTGAAAGCAACCCAAGTGTCCATTGGCAGATGTATGGCTAAACAAAATCCATATGATGGAATATTATTTGGGCTTTAAAAGGAAAGAAATTCTGGTACGTGCTATAACATGGATGAACCTTGAAGATGTTATGCGAAGTGAAATAAGCCAGTCACAAAAAGACAAATACTGTATGATTCCACGTATATGAGGTACTTAGAGTAGTCAAAGTCACAGAAACAGAAAGTAGAACGGTGGTTTGCCAGGGACTGGGGGAGAAGGAAATGGGAAGTTGTTTAATGGGAAGTTTTGAGTTTCAGTTTTACAAGATGAGAAAGTTCTGGAGGTTGGTTAGACAACAATGTGAATACACTTAACACTACTGAATTGTACACTTAAAAATAGTTAAAATGGTATATTTTGTTCTGTGTTTTATCATAATTAATTGTAATAATAACAATAAGGAAAAGTCATCTCTGTTAGACCCCTTAGTGGTCTCTTCCTCCACCATTCCACATTAATACTACAGTCTCCCTACTGCAACAAAAGTTCATGATTACTCTGAACTTTTTAAGATTTAATTAACGAAATGTCATAATGAAAATGCCAAATATGCAAATACCTGGGTCAGTGGCAGAGATAATTGCTCCAAAAAAGAGACAATCTGTGTAGTAAAATTTATCCGAAAGCTGTCCCACCATCTTCATGAGCTTCACCACACCATACATGAGATTTCTGTACGGAGGGAAGACAAACTATGTCAGAGAGAAAATTAAAGAGAACTCTCCTAAATGAGTAACCGAGCAAATATGCAAGCAGAGTAGTACTAGAATATTGTACTTCAAGAGTCATGAAAACATCAGGAAGCTGCTGTGGTTGGATACTTACCAGGAACATGTGCAATACAACTTTGGCACCAAGTAATTATTTGCAGTTAATGTCATCTTGCTGAAACATTTGAACATCCCATTTGTTAAAGTTGTGCTTATTTACAACTATAAAGTATGCTCCTCAATTAGCAACAAATGCATCTTAAGCAATTGAGTAATAGAGAAGAAAGAAAGAGAAAGAACCCTGCATAATATGTGATAAATTGCCTTAAAACTCACAGGATTCTAAGATAGTATGTTTAAAGTCATGGAAATGAGTGGACTGGATGAAGCTGGAGAGGAAAAAAATGGGTTAGCTACAAAGATTCAAGTGATCAATCTTTTCCGCCAAGAATTATTTCAAAGAAGGGAAAAGAGGCACAACTCTCTAAATATCCAATTAAAATATCAGTGTACCCATTGGCATATCTGGCACTCCATTCGTTGCATGGGTTTGGCAGGCCAGCAGGAGCCCTCCTTATGCTACAGAATGTGCGACCCAAAAGGGACCACCAAGTTCAGTATTACATTTCCTACAGGACAGCTTACAAATTAGGATGAGTGAGGAGTGTTAAAAGGCCTAGTTCTCTCTCTCTCTCTCTCTCTCTCTCTCTCTCTCTCTCTCTCTCTCTCTCTCTCTCTCTCTCTCTCTCTCTCTCTCTCTCTCTGTGTGTGTGTGTGTAATGGCAGCAGCTGCAGGAGTTACAGGAATAAAAATAACCACAGAATAGGCTCATTGTACCATAAAGCCAATCCTCTGATAATAAAATTCTTGATAGTCGGAACCATGCCCTTGCTTGTCTTTGTATCCTAGGTGCCTAGAGCAAGTAGACTGACTAAGCTAGGAGCTCAAGGACTATTTGTAGAATTTAATCCTTTTGAGAATAAGTAAGTATAACTTAATGTTTGCTTACTGTGTGCCAGGACTGTTCCAGAAACTTGAACAGTTCTATTTCAACTTATAGTAACTCTGTGATACAGACTGGATTTGCCCTTTGTTGCTTATCAAAGGCTTCTTTCATCAACCCTTTCAATATTTCCTGAAACCACACCTTTCTCTTTATTTCCTTCTACCACAAGCTTAGACATGGTTACTAGACTTCTCTGCAGCTTTTCCTCCCTCTTGCCTCCCATCATCACCAATGTTTGTTTTCTGAGCACTTCCTTATTTTGTGGCATTATAAGATTCTCCATCCTTCTCTTGTATATTTGCTGCCCCGGCCCTAGAATCAGCCATTTCTGCAAAGGGCCCTGATTCTTTTTATTGAAGAATGATATTAGAAACCAAGATCTGGAGACTAGGTATAATTTTATTTCATTTTAATGAATCTTAATTTTAATAGCCACATTTGGCTAATAGCTACCACACTGGAAATGTGGCTTTAGACCTTATATACCATGACCATAAATGTCAAAATACTGGACTCTGGTGATTGCCAGCCGCTGGGTGGTGGGGAAATGGGGAGATGTTGCTCAAGGGTACAAACTTCCAGTAATAAGGTGAACTCGTTTGGGGATCTAATGTACAGCATGGTGATTATAGATCATAACGCTGTAACATATACTTGAATGTTGATAAGAGAGTCGGTCTCAAATGTTTTCACCACAAAAAAAAGGTAACTGTGACAGGATGGAGGTGTTAGCTAATGCTTTGCTGGTAATCATTCTGCACTTTATAAATATATAAAATCCACAACTTGTACATCTTAAACTTATGCAATGTTATGTGTCAATTATATCTCAATTAAGCTGGGGGGAAAGACTGGACTCTGTGGACCCACGTAGAACTCATCTCTTTGGAAAATGTGTTAATTAGGTTACATGGCAAAGAGTCCCTTACCCGATAATGAAGCAGGAAACAGCAGTCCCCAAAAAGGCATAGGCCAGAATAGACCCAAGATTTCTGAAAAAGTGTCTCTGAATAAAACAGAAAAGCAGGAATCACATTGTGATTTTTGACAGTAAGCATTAGAAACACATTAAAAGTCTCTAAAAAGTGAAACTTTACTTATCTCTTCCGTTATATCAAGTCATAATGAAAATTACTCCTGAATTTGCCCTTGAACATCATGGTTTTAAAATATCCTTTGTCTTACCAATCACTGATCAAGCAAGCAAAGTCTTAGTAAATTTCAGACAAAACCACTGCAACTAGTTATATTAAATTACATTAAGTGTGTGTGTCTGTGCGCATGCATGTGCATCTGTATAAGCAGACCAATTGTTTTAATAAATTTAACCCAAACCATTTTACTCTAGTGATTCAGTTAGTCACTTCCAGTTCTGGCAGAACCTTAGAAGATCATTACAGATATAAGTTTGAAACTAATAAAGCATGAAAGTGCCACCTAAGGAGCTTTCTGCTTGATTCAGTATCAGAAAACAGAATGTCCTAAGTATCAGCTCATGGCATCTGTGGTGTCTCCTGATGTTCATCTGGATTAATCTTTAGAGACTGGGAAAGATAGATGTGAACAAATGAGAAACAACTAATTCTAGTTAAGATGGGCAAGTTTTTGCTCTAGCCAGTTTTCTCAGTGGTTAGAGAGTCATCCCACGGACTGAAGGGTCACAACCTCGATTTTGGTCAAAAGCATGTACCTCAGTTACAGGTTCCATCCCAGGCCCCGGTCAGGGCATGTGCAGGGAGGAACCGATGGATGTATCTCTCTCATATCAATGTTTCTCTCTCTGTCTCTCTCCCTCCCTTCAAAAAATATCCTCGGGTGAGGATTTTTTTTAAAAAGGATGGGCAAGTTGATAGATATGTTCACATACTTACATGGGTACAAGATATAGCAATTATTCAGAAAGGGGTGGCAAAACTGTAATTCTCTTAATGCCTCTATACATTTATTGGCTTCCTTAAAACGCACGCGCGCGTACACACACACGCACGCGCGCGTACACACACACACACACACACACACACACACACATTTACTTCTCATTAAGCCTGTGGAATATTCTGATGGGGAAAATCCATGTTCTTGCGATCCTGAGCCATGGCTCTTACTCTTCAAGGCATAAATTATTTTCATTGGACAATCAGAACTACTTAACAAAAACAGATGAACAAAATCCCTCCAAACACCCTAATTAAACAGGGGCCAGGAACACTTTATCTTAAAATGTAAAGAGGCAGGAGAGTCCAGGCATGACAGCCGAGCGACATCAGAGACAGACAAGACACAAGAACTCAGCCTCATTCATGGATAATAGAGACCATTATAAACTTTTGAACAATAATAGATACAGAGGCAGAGCTGCCTCAAACAGATTGTCAAACTGCAGCGGGAAGGCCGGGGAGGGTTGGGGGGCTGGGAGGGGGGTAAGAGATCAACCAAAGGACTTCTATGCATGCATATAAGCATAACCAATGGACATAAGACACTGGGGGGTAGGGGAGGCTAGGGGACTGTCAAGGGCAGGGAGAAAAAAATGGACACATATGTAATACCCTTTGTAATACTTTAAGCAATAATAAAAAAAAGGGAAAAAAAAAGAACTCAGCCTGGATCGAGAATCCACCATGAAGTATGGCCACACAAAAGGCTGCGGGCATCCTCTGGTCTGTGTTCCAGACAGAGGATCTGAGGACTTGGCTTTGGTCTTCCCCAGTGCTTGCCTCTCTTTGAGGCAGAAGAAGGTGTCAAGGAATGCCTACTGTCCTTAAACCACTGCTCAGAAGAGAAGCCTTCAAAGACTTGACATACCACAGTGACCAAATGAGGGTGCTGCCTGTATAAATTATGGGCACATGATGTTTGCCTCTTAAACTAGTCATTTTATTGCATGGGTAGATTCATGTAAGCACCACTGCCATCAAAACACAGAACTGCTGTATCATCAGAAAAATCTCCCTCATGCTCTCCCTTCATAGTCACACACATTCCCCTCTCACTCCCACATCCCTAATCCCTGGAAACCACTGATCTGTTCTCCATCCCTATAATTTTGTTATTTCTAGAATGCTACAGAAATGATATCATGCAGTATGTGACCTTTTGTGATTGGATTTTTTCCCACTCAGCATAATGCCTTTGAGAGCCATACAGAGTGCTGTATATATCAATAGTTTTGCTGCATTTTATTGGTAAGTAGTATCCCATGGTATGGATGTTCATTTAACCATCCACTTACTGTAGGACATTTTAGTTGTTTCCAGTTTGAGGCTATTACAAATAAAGTTGCTATGAATAATCACATACAGGTTTTTGTGTGAATATACGTTTTCATTTCTCTGGGATAAATCCTCAGGAATAAAATTGCTGGGTCCTATGGGAATTTCAACTTTAGTTTTATAAGAAACTGAGGAACTGTTTTTCAGAACGGCTCTGCCATTTTCCATTCCCACTGGCAATGTATGACAGTTCTAGATTTTAAAACAAAAATGAATCACTGATGATGAGTCAACTATAGTCCCTGAGTGGGTACAGAACATAGTAATAAGCAATCTGGGAGAAGTAAAAAACTAGAAAATTATGCAGGTGAATTAACACAGAGATCCCCATACTTTAAGAAATACTGGCAAAAAATCATACTCCTTACATAATTTAAAGCCTTTCTACCTATCAAGAGAAACTAAAACTTTAAACCAAGCAATAACGTTATTAAACGGTCAACCAGCAAGAAATCTGTTTGTTGTGGGAATTTTTTCCATAGTTTCCATAAAGTAATTGGTACAGGTACACCAGACCCACTTTGTGGCATTATCTTATAAACCACACACACGTGTACTATTATGAGCAATAGTTTGGAATGTGTTTACAGTATGATATATTTCATTCTTCAACTATATAAAGCTTTTGTTTTTATGATCATTTGCCCCCAAGAATGTCATTATGTTGTTATCTGTGGATAATTTATGACTATTTTTAAGCTTGAAAAAAAAAAAGAAATACTGGCAAAAATCTCTTACCTTCTTCAAACTGTATCCAGCATGGAAAATAATTGGAGGCAGCAGAATGTTGAAAAAGACCTCTGGGTCAAACGTTACCTAAAAGTTTAAAAGGAAAAAAGCCCATTTTTAGGTTAATACCAATTGGTGCTATGATGTTTGCTTAATATTTTAAGCCACTGGCTAAAGTGTGAATAGTTAAAGCACGTGACATAACTGTGGAAAAACATGAGCTCATCACAGAAGAGAAGCCACAGCTCCCCTGTGGGCTGACGTGTTCTTGTCCACATAGCACTTCTGAGTTCTACTCTTGCTCTGCTGTTTAATACATACTGCTATACGATAGTACAGTGCAATTTTGAGACCTCATACAAAGCTTTTGGTCAATGTGTTTAAACAAGAAAGAAAACATCTTGATTTTTAGCAAACCTTTATGAAGGCTCAACTGCAATAAAAGATGCAGTCATCATTCTTAATAATTTTCTGGATCCTCTCACAGAATCATTTATAGACATAATGCTACCAAATTTAAGTCTCTTTTGAGTGGCCAGCCTTCTGTGACACATGATGTGGCCTAGATCAAAGTCTCCAGCGATGCTAATGGTTTCCTAAACATCAACATAAATTCAGCAGTTCTAAGGGGACTAACATTACCTGTAGGTTTGATACAGTGAAATTATTAGACATCAAAGTCTTAACACATCCAGAAAACATAACCATTCTATAAACTTCCTAACTCTTTAAATAAAAAATTTGTTCATTTTAGTAGATCATTTGTCTCTTATTTCATTTAATTATTAAATCATTATAATTATTAAAACCAAAGTTAGCATTTCTCTTTAGGAACAAGAAATGTTAACCAGTCTAATTACAAAGAGAATGGTTCTCTCAAAATTATGTTTTATTCAATCTTCTTGCTAAAGGTAAGAGTGGTCTGAAAAGCGGGGACTGTCCAAGTGAGAAGGGGATTTGGACAATACCTATGTAGTATGAGGATACTGGGGCCAAAGAGAGTGGCACTTGCTGGAAATCACCACACCCAGTAATGCATGAAGCAGCACAAGAGTTTCTTGACTCCCACACCATCCCATGCAGGCTTATGAAGGCTTGAAAGAAAAGAGCGCATTAGAACTGCCATTTGGGACAAGGAGAAGATGGGCATATTGAATGCTCCAGGTTGAGAATAATTTTCTTTAAGGATTAGGGTAGATCTTGAGATCAATAACAATTTAACTTTTGGAGCACAGGCTATACTCTGTGTTTGACTGTAAGCCTTCACACACATTAATTAGCCTTATTCCATATTACAAGGAGCT